CATAATGTCCGTGGGGCTTCTGGTCTCCTGGGCTACTCTTCGGGCTCTAGTTCTTTCAGTGATCTTGCGATTTACCTCGTCAGATAGGTCCCTGAACCTGTTTGGTTGCGTTATGTATTCCACGGTGGTTGCGGCTTCTAGCGCAGCCTTAGTCTTCCTTTCTAGGTCCGTGACCGTTTCCTCTAAGTCTTCAGGGCTGTCAATATGAAGTAGTGGTCCTAGTGAATAGGGCAGTCTGATTCTAAATCGCTACCAATCCACTCTCTTCACTGTTCTTTGCTCCACAGGTGTTCTCCCATCTCCCAATTGAATTGAATTGGGTTGTGGTCTGGGCTTCCCTCTTGCATGGCGCCGATGGTCGTACGCAGGTCGATTTCATTCAGAATCGCCAGATCTATGACGTCTGGTCTACCTCCGTTGCTGGGGTATATTGTGGGTTCGTCAGGACCTATCATGGTGTATCCAGGTTGATCCATTAGTCTTTCGAGGACAGTGCCATGACTGTTTCTACTTCTTGAGCCCCAAATGGTGGACTTCGTATTTAGATCACCTACGATCACAGTACTATTTCCCAGTGCAGTGATTCAGGAGACATCTTCCAGATGAATCGTCGATGTAGGTGGTACGTAGATCAATACGGTGTTCAGAGGGCCATGTTCGGTGTGCGTACCGTCACTCCCACGTCCTCTGCAGATCTCAGTTCGGGCAGTCCCAGTGGGTAATGCTGGTCTTGGAGCAAGCAGCATCCCACCTCCGGTTCTGTTCCGGTCCTTTCTATACGTCATGTATCCCTGTATCATCCAGTGTGGGATTTCCCCAGAGAGCCACGTTTCTTGTAGTGCCATTACATCATAGTTTCCTCTTGTTAGGATTTCGCCTATCTCATATTTCTTGTTGGAAACGCTGTGACGTTCCAACTGAATATCTTCAGGCCCCTATTAGCAATGGTTATTGGAGTGCCCATTTGGAGTTTCGGTCAGTGCTATCCTTTTTAGGCGATTTTCGCTCCAGATGAGTGAAATACGCTTCCTTGGCAGCCGGATTTTTCATCACTAGCAACATCATTTGAGATGCGTACTTGGCGGCAAAGTCTGTCGCTCCTCGACGTCGCTGTTTTCGTACTGCTGGCCTCAGCGGCTTGGGCCCTTTAGGTGTCCCAGCTGTTGTCGTCGCATAACTACGGCCCTCCTGTACTGGACTAGGCCTAGTTATGGTTTTGGGTGCTGGCGCTGCTCGCGCTGTGCCCCTTGCTACCATCTTCTTATCTCAACTTGGATTATTACTTGCAGCAGGAGTTTTATTGGACGATCGATAACGATAATCATGCCGCGTATGCGCCGTAGCAGTA